TGAATTTACGATTGAAAAAAAAAAAAAACAAAATAAAAAGAATTAATTTTCGCGGATTCATCCCTGACCTCTTCAACCCTATCTCAGGTTTATTATCTTATGGTCAATGTAGATTATTTTGTTTCTTTTCTTTTTATTTTCTTTTTCTTTAGAAAGGTAAGAAAAGTTTTGCACGTGGGTCCGTAACACTTGGTGGCTTTTCCTGATTTACTCATTGATCGGTACTGACTCATCGTACAATACATTATATCCCCCATTTATATTCTCGAGTATAGCTATAACCGCCGACACACGAAGCCAGTAACGGCAGTAGCAAAACTAAAGAGAGAGAGAGAGAGAGATAAAAACGACTTTCGTTATTCCTTTCGCGTGCATTCGAACTCGTGACTCATCGACAATTCTCTCTCTCTCTTTCTCTCCTACCTTTGCAAAAACATGAATTTTTTCTCGTTCCATTTCCATTAAATTTTATTTCATAATGATTCAGATTTTTCTTTATTTATTTCTTTATTTCTTTCTTTCTTTCTTTGCCACCACAATAATTTGCGTCATTTTTTCTTTTCTTTTTTTCGGAATTTACCCCGGTCAATATCTAAGATCAAAAAATGAAACTGCAATCATTTGAAATTAGTTTCGAGTTTTTCGTTTCGATAGCGAGTATTTTAATTGATTAAACGATTAGCATAAATATGTATTTCGATATCTCTTTCGAGATTAAATTTGGAAAAACAGAAGAAAGCTACGAAACGCGTTATAACTTGTTCGCAAAATTACGCAAACGACTGAGGAACAAACACAAACCCAAATGATTGCCAATTAAATTAAGCCTAAACTATTTCGTAATCGTGTTAGTCAATTAAAAATAGGAAAACTAAACACTTTATATAGTTTTGTAGAAATATATTAGTTACAAAGTGATCATTTTCTCCCGGTGTGTGTGACTTTTTTTTTTATTCGTTGGAAATCACGTGTGGCAACGGCGGCGGCGGGAACGTTCAAAGGAAACGTATTCGCGATTCGTATGTAAGTAAAATAAAACTTGCCATTATATTAAAAAGAAAATGAATAGAAAATTATAAATAAAAGTATAACGGGATTTATACTAACTGAATGATTAATAAGATTGATCGAGAAGTAATGTCAATCGTTTGTATGATCGTTTAATTGTGCGATTGGTATGGGATAACGAGAACACACGAATAGGATATTCGTGCTGGTTACAATGTAACATCCTTATTGGTGAAGACGCATCGTGTACGATGATAACGGGAAACTTTTATATATATATGCATGAGTGCGCGTGCGTGTGCTTATGTATATATATATATATATATATATATACATGTACTGAACATACAAAATTTATTCTTAATCTAGACATCGTTACTTCTTTATTACTATTTTTATTATTATTGTTGTTGTTTTGGTCGTCATCATTATTATTATTTTTATTTAATTCGTATTTCTTTGGACACAAATTTGTGTGTGTCGCGTATAATTTATTTGATATATATATTATATTTTGATAATATTTTACAACACGCAACTCGTTTTACTTTTCGATACAATTTTATTTTAATTAATAGCTCTGTTACCAATATACGAGAGAGAGAGAGAGATCGAGTAATTATATTATTTAATAATTTAATTATAAAAGAAAAAAGAACAGAAATTTGTATTATTTATTTGTTTTTCTTTTTCCAATTAGCAAGAGTTTCGTATTTAAATGGAATATTCAAATACATTAAGAGAAAATATTTGATATTGTATTAATGTAGGTGTGCATATATACGGTACATGTATTTTAATCATTTTTATATGGCACGCTCGTCCTTGTTGTCTTCATCATCGATGTTGTTGTTGCCACCGAAGAAATGGCATTCTTCTCATTATTTAGTCGCGTCAAAAGTATCGCGCCATGTTTACCCAATTTTTGCATAACATCGCAACAACGTAATCTTACATTTACATTTAATTGTGCATTTTTATATATATATATATTTTTTCTTTTCTTTTTTAAATATTCGTTAAACAATTCATTTATTTCTTGCAAAAATTTCATATCAAAACATTGCATTCTTTTATACTTCGTATATTTTCTTTTTACAAAATATTATTTTTATAATATTCATATTTTGATTTTTCAATATACATTATAATCTAAGCTTAATTTTTGTTCAGTTATATTTTTCTTTTTTTTTTTTTTTATTTTTATTCATCTATATAACACGACATGCTCTAATTATAGTGCCGTTTGTCAGAAATAATACTTGCTTGGTACTGTAATAAGCGATTTACGGTACCAAGATAGTTACAGTTACGTTTCATCCAAACAACAACGACAACAACACGATGACTACTTCCCTTCGAATTTATTTTCATTCGTCCTAACTCTCGTTTCGTCAAAATCTTCGATAAAAACGCGTACGTTGATTCAATCGTTCGATCTTTATCGATAGATAAAAAACCGCCATGTTTTGTGTGTGCCTCTAGCGCCCTCTGTTTTTTTTCCCCAAAAGTTCTACTTCCGTAAAAATGGCGATTTTTATTATTCTAATACTTTGAAGGTATAATACTCGTAATATAATTAAAATATATAATAAATAATAAAATATTAATTGTAATATATTAGAAATTATATAATAATCACTACGAATCTTGAAATTTCAACTTACGAACGAGCAAAATTAGCCAACCTTTCGAAGTATAGTCATCGAACAAAAGAAATACCTTACGTTCCCATTTACGACACATGCTATATTTATCTAACATATTTTTTGCGAGGCATTAATTAAAATAACGCGTTATCCTATGAACGGTAAATTTAAATAAGAAAAATAATAATTTCAAATTATATTTTTGTCCAATATTTAAAGACCCTAGATTACAGGTATACCAACATCTGGAATATAAATATCCTATAAAAATTTGACACAATCGGACCCATTCTCTAATTTGTATTTTATAATTGCCTGAAAGTATAACGCGTAGCTGATTTAGTTATACATTATTTTATTTTTTAATTTGTTGAACGTATATATATATATATAAATATACTCAACTCCCTTATAACATGGTATTTCAAAAACATGATATTAAAATGAAAACTCGGATACGACACGACTTAATAAACATTTCTAACTATTTTTATGCAGCACGAATGTTTCCATTACATTTTTTGATTTCTTTCATAAGTATTTTAATACAGCATGAAACTAATTAATTGTGTTATAATATATAATTGTGTATATACATGTTAAATTAATATATTGAATTAACCAATAATCATTAATATCGAAATATTAAATTAAAAATATAAGGTTACTTATTGAAATACAAAATAAAATACGAAATGGAAGTTTTAGTAAACGCGTATTGGACAATATTGAATTTTTAGTTATACTGGACAAACGATATATTCGTCTTGTGTATGCAACAAAAAGAAAGAAACAAAGATGACAAAGAGAAAGAGAGGGAGAGAGAGAGACACAACGATCGATCTGCGTGTTTCCATTTACGAGCTCGTTTTTTTCCTATCATATTGAAAAATAAAAAAAATAAAAAAAAGGAAAAATCCAAACAGAAACTTTCATAAACGCATGTTCACTCATAACATACGAAAATCCCCAAATTCATCGTTCAAGTTCGTGTCACGTTCGACCAACCTCGACGTTTTGATTATTTTTACAAAGTCATACATAGCTTTTGTTAAATAAACAAAATTTATGGCTATTTTTGTTTTTTATTCTTTTTTATATTTTTTATATTTCGAAAGAATGAATTTAATAGAATATCCGAATATAAATTATAAAAATATAAATTCTTAGAAGGACCGTGAAAATGTTTCAAGATAGAGGGAGCAAATCAATCATTTCATTGGTCATATAATAAAATAGAAAGTTTAGATTAGTACAACTCGAAAGATAATAAAATTCGAAAGATAATAAAAATTCGAAAGGATATTTCGTTTAGGAATTTCTTCGGTTGAAGAACCCTTTGTATTGTTATAAACGCGTGATTAAAAAAATACAAATAAAGAGAAAGTAGTTGAAATCATTGAATCTCGGGCGCCAGATTAAAAGAAGATGATATATAATTCGAATTGCAAGCACCGATTTTACTTTCCATTTGATAGGAATTCGAACAATTCGAGAAAAATCAAGAAAGTCGTCAAGAATTTGAAGGAACTTCGAAGGACGCTTTCGTTTTCATTTTTTGAGCATGTTTTTATAGTCGCTGTCGTCACTTCCGCATACTTAAAGCTACACAAAAGAGATGAAAATAAAAAAAAAATAAATAAATAAAAAAAAATAAATAAATAAAAAAAAATAAGACATTTAATCGTCCACTTAGTTTTATATTTCGTATTTAAAAAATATTCAATAAAATATTATCCATTAACAACATATCTCGACATGTTTCACTTAACCTCGAGCTCTTCCCTTAACTACGACGTCAATTCTTTACATTACTATAAAATAGAAATGCTGCGATCCTATTGGTTACTTATTCCATTTTTTCCCTAACCTGACGTTAGGACCCAGACGGTTTTTTAACTTCAGTTCGAATTCGACAGTTGGAGATACGTTTCTTCTGCTCGTCCTTTGGAATTCTTTTGGAAACCTTGTTTTCTTTTTCCTCAAAAGTATCAAGAAATTAGGCCGAAATTCGTATAATACTACGATATTTCGAAACTACGATTATCATCAATAGGCGTGTGGTATAGTGTGAAGAGAAAAATAATTATAATAATATAATTAATTATTTTTTTCGTTGAATATTTCCATTAAACTAAATCATAATGGGTCATTATCAATCAAGAGAACTCGATCCACCATGGTTTGTCAGTTATGCAGTAAAGAAATTACCTGGCCTATTGTTCCAGGTAGTATAAGAATGAAAAAAAAAGGAGAGAAGGAAGATGAAGTGGTAAAAAAGAAAAGGAAAGAAAACAATTGTAATTAACCAATGTGTCGTTTTTGTTTTTATGAATGTTACAGGGAATGTGTGACATGTTCATCCAAACACAGCAGACGAGTAGCGTCAACGGCAGCAGCAGCAGCAGCAGCAGCAGCAGTAACAACACCGTTCACCACCATAGCAAAAAACGCAAGTTGGAGTACAACGTGAGCCAGCCGGTGATCCAGCACGGGTTGGTCCAATCGACCGGCGACTATCAATTGGACAATACCGGACTGCCACAGCGGTATTCCGTGAACGGTGCTAATACCGCATTTAGCTCGCTGCACAACAATAATGCGCTGCAGAAGAGTAGCCCGAACCAGCAGACCCTGGTACGAGCCTCGACGATCAAGCTCCTAGACACTTATCAACGCTGTGGCCAGAAGGTTGGTCTAATATCAATCACGATAATGTCCGAACTTTGTTTGAATAAACCCTCTCCTCCCTGTTGTTGTTTTTATTTTATTCGTTAATTCTTAATGAGAAGGTATCACAGGGAACTTGGACATAAAAAAAAAAAAAAAGAAGTAGAACTTAATTTAACTAAGTTGGACGTTTTGTCCCTTTATTGGGACTTATTCAGCAACTTAATCTTTATAGTTCAGCGTCTTTTTTCTTTGTGAGTAGACATACATTTTTATTTTTATTTTTAATATTCAAAACACAAGACATCTAAACTTCGTTAAGTATTAGCCCGTTATAATTTGAACACTCAACAAAACTGTTTCAATCTAGACTAGTCTATATCTAGACTAGACTGTTTCAATCTAGTTTAGATGTTTTGTGTTTTGAATATTAAAAATAAAAATAAAAATGTATGTCTACTCACAAAGAAAAAAGACACTGAACTAAGTTAAGATTAAGTTGCTGAAGAAGTTCCAATAAAGGGACGAAACGTCCAACTTAGTTAAATTAAGTTCTACTTCTTTTTTTTTTCTTATGTCCAAGTTCCCTGTGATACCTTCTCATTAAGAATTTTATTTTTGGACGAGAGAAACACAACCGATTATTCGTTAATGTTTTGTAAACACAAATATTTCTTAACACAAAATGTGATATGGATCATCATCGTCACTTTCATCGTGATTACTTATAAGATATTTATAGGACAAATATCAATCTTCCTTCTCCCTTTCCCTTTCCCTATCTACCCTCCCCCTCTCTTTCTTTATTAACTAATTGTTTAATGATATCTCTAGAAAAATTCTAACGTATTTCAATTTAGTTTTGTCACAAATATGCTTCGAGGTATACTAAGTTTTATTCTTTCTAATATTATTTTTCATAAAAAAAAGAAAAATCTATATATATCTCTAAATACTTCAAATTGTGAATTAAGTAATTGACTAATTGTAAGATCAAATAAATTTCGAGTTGTGTTTCTTCTTAATCCTCCGATGGGACGACGGTCTGTTTGGAAGTAGTTTTTCCTCTTTTTTTGTTTTTTTTCCAATTACAATATATAACTTTTCATCAGTCGTCAGTTTGACGGACAATCAAATTATTGTAGATAATTCTCGTGTATTATGTCAACATATGACAATTATCAAGAATTTAGGAAGAATCGTTAAAATATCATATCTGGAAATATCATTAAGATAATCCTTGAGGTATAAGACGTTGGTAGAATATCGTAAATCGTTTTTCCTTTATATTCAAAATATATTTTAATATTATACTTTCACTTTTCGTACCTGTACATCGAATACTCGTGAACTTTGAAGAGATTTACACAGCTCTCTCGTGGTTGAATTTGTGTTATTTTAATATATATATATAAATTTATATAAATTATTTTATAAAACCTTAATTATGATTCTACTGATGTTATAATTTTATTAGAATTGTTCTAATACTGATCTCTTTAATGTTATTAACACAGTGTGCTTTAATTTTGACAAACAAAGCAGTATCATCTCATTGATTGCTTTACTAGTTCTATTGTAACAATTCCATAATAATAATAATTAGTAGAAAAAGCTCACATTACACCATAAAAACTGGGTGTATCTGTATGTGTGTATGTATGTGTATATATAACTCGTTTAATCATTGTTTAATGATGGCCTTTCTCTAACGTACTTGGTACCACTCGGTATAGATCACGTTATCCTTGGAATAGTCTTTTGATCAAGAATACGAAGGTTTCAAACTCGATGATCGAATGGCTGTGTTATTTTCTGATAAGATATATTTTTTTTTATACTATTTAAAATATTGAATTATAAATTAATCTTGTCTTGTAATCAACGCAATATCGGTAATAACAATTGTTACCTTGTTATGAAAGTAATTTGAAGATTTTAAAGTAAAATCAGGTATCGTTAAACGCAATCCTAACGAAAATTACTTTGAGAACAATCCGATATTTTGGATTTACACAATTTATTGTTATAAAATTTAATTTAGAGATCTTTTTAAGACCAATATTACTTCTCGCGGTAGTTAAATAGTTTGTTACACCCTGTATAGAAGAATACGTAGGCGTTCTTTCATTCTCGTTCATCGGAGCATTTCATTCTATGTTCCATGAAGGACTGAACTCTTGAGAGTACAATGAACGAACCACCAACGGTTTCTATTCTCTTTCTCTTTTTATTTAGAAAATTCAATTCTTTCGCAATTTCTTTCACTATTTCTTTTTATTTTTCCCCCCCTTTCTCCGAGAGATTACAGTAAACTTATTAGCATTTATAAATCTAGGTATAACGTATATTACGAATTTGTAGATAAGATATACAATTTCGTTTGTTAAATTTGATTATGTTTAATATCAGTATTTTTTATACGATTATTATCCTATAAAATATGGATAATAATAATATTTGTTAATATATTTGTGAAATGTGTTGCAACGCGTGAAAATCAGGAACTGTAATTCCTTCTTCTTGTCTTTTTTGTTGTGTCGGTTTGTAGGGGATGGGTGATGGGGTTAGAAAGGTAGGTAACAGAAGAGTGTAGGGTGGTTGAGAAAACGATAATGTAGATTTTAGATCGTTGCCCGAAGCCCAATGGCGATCAAGAATAGAGTTGATTCTCTCGAGGACGTAGAAAACATTTCCGCGTGGCGTAGTTAGCTATCGATTCCTTTCAAGGCTTCCCCATTTCATATTTCACGATGCTCTCTCAGCTTTTCTGCCTTTCACGTTCATCGAAACGCCCACTTGCAACAACCCACCCCCCGTCGTATCATTTCTTCTTCTACATATTGTTTTTATTCCTTTCTTCGATTCTTATTGGATTCAACGATTTTTTTATCGAGTTTAAACGAATTTATTTGCGTTACATCTCTACAAACATAATTCTATATGTCTTGCAATAACATTGACGATCGTTTTGTCAAAAAACTATACTAAATGAATAAATTTATACTAATTTTTGACGTTACAATACACATTGACTCTTCCAACTGATACGTAGATTACCTTCGATACATTTTAATATATATATATATGTGTGTGTAATCCGGATTCGAGTCACATACTCAAGATTATGTCTCGTCTGTCTTACGACCATAATCGGCTCCAATGTCTTGTTAGTGTATCCGATAGATCTAGAGCTAATGGTTGACAACAAGGCAAGCAAGAGATATAAAGAAATATTTCAATAGAAATCAGCCAAGAGAAATTCTATTTTGAAACCCCATGAAAATTATCGTTATCGTCATATTATCATCGTTATATTATCATCGTCATTTGTCAACGTCATATTCTTCATCGTCATTAAACAATCATCACCGTTGTTTGTCATTATCCATAAAAAGAAATAGGTTGCAAAATAAAAAAAAGATATAACGCGATAATTAAAAGATGATTTGTTAACTTTAGCAAATTTTTGTATAAGGTGTATTCCTCCTCCTACAGAGAAAAACTTGGTCGAGGGAGGGTAATGGTGACGCCCTGGCAGTCCACTCCGCCAACGCGACGAACGCAGTGGGTAGTACTATAGTGTCGCAGCATTATACCCAACAGCAACAACAGCTGCAGCAACAACAACAGCAGCAGCAGCAACAACAACAACAGCAGCAACAACAACAACAACAACAGCAACAACAGCAACAACATAAGCAAGCAGGGATGACAGCTCATAGCAAACAAGTTGCAAATGCGGCCAACGGGGCTGGTGGTGGAGGTGGCGGTGGCGGGGGTGGAAGTAATCCTCAGGGGGATGGAGATTATCATTTGGTCCAACACGAAGTTTTATACTCTATGGCCAATCAGTATGAAGTTCTTGAATTTTTGGGCAGGGGCACGTTCGGCCAGGTAAATTCTTCTCTTTTTTATTTTAACGAGAATGAAAAAAACTCTTTTATTGTTGATTGTCCTTAAAGTTCGGCGAGACTCATTCATTTGTTTTTCCAGGTTGTAAAATGTTGGAAAAAGGGAACGAATGAAATAGTAGCCATCAAAATTCTTAAAAACCATCCCTCGTATGCGCGCCAAGGGCAGATTGAGGTATCCATTGTGTTTCTTTCTTTTAATTAATTTTATGCGTTATGTATATATATATATATTGTTATGACTATATAATATTTAAATTAATATACTGTCTTTCTCTTTCTCACTTAGGTCTCCATCCTGTCACGACTAAGTCAGGAAAACGCGGATGAGTTCAACTTTGTGCGCGCTTATGAATGCTTTCAGCATAAATCACACACCTGTTTGGTGTTCGAAATGTTGGAACAAAATCTTTATGACTTTCTCAAGCAAAATAAATTCTCACCGCTACCTCTTAAATTTATCAGGCCGATACTCCAACAAGTTTTAACTGCATTATTAAAGCTCAAGGTATGTTTATTAAACATTATTTTCTTTATAATCAGATATTATTATGCTATAATTATCAAATTGATTATTTTCAGCAATTGGGCCTTATACATGCGGATCTTAAGCCAGAAAACATCATGTTAGTGGATCCCACGCGTCAACCATATCGAGTTAAAGTCATAGATTTTGGTTCGGCATCTCACGTATCAAAGGCAGTCTGCAATACTTATTTACAATCGCGATACTATCGTGCACCAGAAATTATTCTTGGACTTCCTTATTGTGAAGCGATAGATATGTGGTCGCTCGGATGTGTCGTAGCAGAATTGTTTTTGGGATGGCCCTTGTATCCGGGTAGTTCGGAATACGATCAAATTCGATACATCAGTCAAACACAGGGCCTACCGACGGAACATATGTTAAATAATGCTAGTAAAACGACGAAATTTTTTTATCGAGACATGGACAGTTAGTATGCAATATATAATACAAATTGATTTATGAGTTTGTTTATAAGGGAGATTATTGTTAACTTTTCTCATCGCGTTGAAATATTTTATTTTAGGTACGCATCCATTTTGGCGTTTAAAAACACCCGAGGAACACGAGGCGGAGACTGGAATTAAATCAAAAGAAGCTAGAAAATATATTTTTAATTGTCTCGATGATATTGGCCAAGTTAACGTACCAACTGATTTAGATGGTGGTCAACTTTTACCTGAAAAGGCAGATAGGAAAGAGTTCATTGACCTCTTGAAGAGGATGCTCACCATGGACCAGGTGGTAATATCTAATAGATCAATATATTTCCAACATGTAAAGAAATACATTTATCGAATAATCATTGATTTTCATTCTTAATAATAGTTTTTGTTAATATAATGAATTTTGTATATATATAGGAGCGCCGAATAACACCCGGAGAGGCATTGAATCACGCTTTCGTAACCCTGGCACATTTGGTCGATTATGCTCATTATAACAGTGTCAAGGCTTCCGTCCAAATGATGGAGGTTTGCAGAAGAGCTGGCGATTTTACAGCGAGTCCTGCTCACCATACAGCACCATCTGCTCCCCAAGCACCCCCGCCCGCATCCTTAGTAGCTAATTTTGTACCAACCACCAATGGTAGTGCAGTTACTCTTACATTCAACAATCAACTGACCAATCAAGTGCAACGTTTAGTTAGAGAACATCGCACTGCTCCAACGGGCTATGACAATCTGGTTTGTATTAATATCAATTTTAATAATCATTTTTATTATGTTTTGTTTTTTCATTTATTGGACCAATTTAACATATTAATTATTATTTGAAATTATTACAGTACGAAACCATCAGCAGTCCTTGGCCAAATGTAATATACGATTTATCATTTCCAAAATTACAGTATCAAATCTATAGTAATAGCAGTCGTCGGGCAACACAATACAGCAGTTCTTCTAGTGGTTCAAATAGTGGCCGAAATGCGGTTCACGATTTTTCACATCAATTAGTACCTGGTATATTATGTCCACCTCCTGGCTATCAAACGATGCCAAGTCCAGCTAAACACGTTGTTGTTGCTCAGGTAATAGAAATATCTATATTTTCAATAAATTGTTGTTTATTTTTTTTCTCTCTCTCTTTTTGTTTTTCTTTTTTTTTGTTTCATACCTCTGGGATAAATTTGAAATAATTAAACGCTTTATTGTATTTGAATATAAACTAATGGTTATAGCCACCGCAGGCTCAACAAGGTCCACTTCAAATCCAACCCTCGATCATATCGCAGCAAGCTGTTGCAGCAGCTGCGGTAGCTGCGCAACAACAATACGCGGCTGTTCCTGTATCTATGGTGGAAACCGGACGACAAATGTTGCTCACTGTAAGATCTTAATAAATATTTATTTACTTCAAGATAACGTATCGTGTTATATATATATTAGTGTATGCATATTATTATACATTTCTAGAATGCCGTACAAACATCATGGCCTGGTGGAAGTCGGCAAATGGCTGCAATTGTACCATCTTGGCAACAATTACCACCTCAACACGCAGCGATTCAACAACCGTTGTTAAGCGACGCTGGAGATTGGGGAAGACCGCTCATCGTAGATAGCTCTGCCATATTACAGGTAAGGTATTTGGATTTTGTCGTTAAACGACGAATGATTATCTTTTTCTTACAAATTATTTGAATACACCTTGTCGAATGCATTGTTCCAATTGATTACCCTTGTTTTGGGGAAGGATCAGCGGCCAGTATTTCCTGTCACGGAGGTTTATAACGCTAGTGCTCTCGTCGAACATCCTCCACAAAGTTGGGGCAAACGTAGCGTCACTAAACATCATCAACATCATGTGACCGTACCCCAACAAAGCCAACACAGGCATGAACATAAGAAAGAAACTCAACAATTGAGTCCAGTTAAAAAGAGAGTGAAAGAGAGTACACCACCGAGCAGTATGAGACGACATTCACCTTCGAATGGACATTGGCAGCTACAACCAATTCAATCCCATCATCACAGTAGCAGCAAACACAGTAGTAGTCACAACGTAGAACATCAACAAGTTGCATCCGTCCGGCAACCAACAATCACCATATACGATACCCCATCTCCGGCTGTTTCTGTTATCACCATCAGCGACAGTGAGGATGAATCACCAGGAAAATGGTAAGTTCGTGAATAATTTGTCTTCGATCATATAGATTTCTTTGCTCTTACATTTTATAGAAAATTTAAAAGTAGAATAGTAAGCTATTATATTTATTGCTTTGATAAAGAGTAGATTGCTCACTTGTGATAATTTACTGTTATGATTATAAGATAGATCTTTGTGATATGTTTTTGCATATTTTAATTTTTTTTTTCTCTTTTTTCTTTGTACAGTAAGAAATAGCATATTTTTTCTTTTTTTTTTTTTTTTTTTTTTTTTTT